ACATAATTTTCTTAAAATTCTGCTTTACAGGTCTGTGATTTTAGAAAAAAAAAAATTTAACATTGCATTCTTTTCAGTTTGCTTTTTGCCAATAGCATTCCATTTTACTTCAAGCTCAAAACGAAAACATTTGCTGCTGACCAATTAAAAAGTTGTTGCTAACGCCCGGCAGTAAAGCCCGACACCAGAAGGGATTTAATCATTAAAATGCAATTTGAAAAGAATAGTTCCTAAAATTCAATATAAAAATTTTTTTTTACTATTATTATTAACTGGAAAAAAGGAAAAATGTGTAAGATTTACCTCCATCTAGTGGTACAGTAAGTGAATTACAATCGACCAACTGGTGGCTCCCACTGATCTCTATTCACTGGAATGCTGATAGCCCAAAAAAAATTGAAGTCACCTGCCGCCATCTTGGTACTCCCCACTCTCACAGAGATGTGCCATAAAAATGCCTACATGTGTAGCATTTGGCTGCAAAAACAAGCAGTTTGCTAACTGTTGTAAGTCGTTTCACATGTAATATTACAGTGGATGTACTAACCAAGAAAATCCATATATACGCGGATGTATCCTATAGTATAGTTTGGGTATGCGTGTTTGTGTTCGCGAGTGCATACATACTTGTATTTACAGTATATGGAAATCACCAGATTCTTGCTGTAACTATAAGCAAAAAGCTAACTATTAATTTGATGTTGCCTGTTATTTTACAAATGTATGTGTTTTTGCTAGTGTAGAAACTGAAATTCTGTGGAATTATTAAATTAGTTCACTAATACCACAGCATTAACAGACTTGTACTTGTATTTCAGTCTTGATGTAAAATCTTGAAATTATATGTAATTACCACAACAATGTAATTGATACATTAGATGTACATCATCAATTTACACACAAGCATTTACACTTTTGTCATATTTGTATTATTGTGCTCCTTTTAACTAATAAATTTTGTTGTGATGGATTTGTATAATATGTTATATTACATGAATTACAGACTTCATTGACCTCACGCAATTTGATGTGCCTATTTTTTTAATCATAAATGACAGTAATCTACTCATGCTATGAAACAGCAAATGTGTGTCAGAGTGATGAATTTATCTTTGTTTTAAAAGTCTTATTCCCTCCTGATAATGAAAACATCATGGTTGTTTGCTGTGGCGCACGTATTGTTTACATTTCAACCACCCTAACTAGGGAGTACCAATATGGCGGCCGGTGACTTCACTCCACCTGGTAGCAATCCAGTGAATCAATAAAGATCAGTGGTGTCTTGACTGGATGATCTGGTGAACTGTAAAGTGCCTTGAGATGACATGTGTTGTGAATTGGTGCTATAGAAATAAACTGAATTGAATTGAAAATTGTAGGCTCCCAATTAAGAGAGGCCTACTACGGAAGCTGCGGAGTGACAATCTACTCTTTTTGGAAGGGACACATCAAACTCTGTCACCCATGTCAAATCAACTAAAATTAACGATGAAACACTTGAAACATTTCTCTAAAACCAGACCTGGAAGACGCCTATGCTTGTTAGCTGGTATGATGGGCAGCTGATAACTGTTACATCAGAGCTTATCCAATGTAGGCTAACAAACAAACTAGCCGTCTTCACCGGCAGTATTGAATCGACCTAATCACCCTAATATGTCAAGCTATGAAAATGGCTGATGTTATTAGACTTCTGCAGAAAATGTATTTATTAAGCCAATACTTGATTGTTACTAATAAAAATGCCACATTTTTTACATGCTGTCCCTTTAAATACGTACATTTTTCTCTTAAAAATAAAATTGAAAAGAAGAATCTGAGAAAACAGCAAAGTTGCTCTAATTTTTTTCTTTTTTACATGAAAAAAGTTTTTCAAATTTTCCTTCCCGGATTTGTGTTTTTAATATTTCCAGTCATAAAATGTGTTCTTTGCTAGCAACAATTAAGTAAAGGAATTCACTCCATACTCACTGCTCTCCCCTCAGGGCCACTGCGCCCCACATGGTTGGACAACCAATATATCTGCAGCAACTGTGTGATGACATCATGTAAGCTGAGATGGACAAAAACCAGCGGCTACGGCCATTTCTCAATTCAGAAGAACGCGAGTACGGACTCGTGTCCTCATCAAACACATTCTTGAGAAGAACACAGGAGAGTCTGGAATTGGGGAGAACGGGAGCACACAGCATAAATATGGGGCAAATGGGACAAAAGCGTACTGATGACATCACCACACGCTCTGCTCGTCTGGAGCTGCATTTCACCTTACGTTATTAATAGTCTCTAGATAATAATAAATTCTTACTTTTTTAATTTAGCGTGGGAATAATAATTACCACAGCCAGAAGAACACAAATCAAATGAACATTTTGCCAAATAAAACAAAAAACTCGCCATCAAAGCCAGCGGTCCTTCACACACGGCTATGCAGAGAGAGGGCTGCTGCAGACGGGCTAAGATTAGCCCTGGCTGCCGTTAGCCTCGGAGGTCCGCTGGTTGCCGCGGTCCTCTCAACTTTTTTTTTTTTTAAGTCTGCTCTGATGCATGCTGGGTAAAGAGGGAGGGGCGAGAACAACATTGTGGACTTTGTCCGTTCTCTGTCTTTTTGTTCTTGTGAATTGGAACGGTACTAGGGCTGACGATGTTTCATGAGCACATGAGAATGCACAAGTACACAGAAACAGCCTTTGTTTCAGACACCTTGTTGAATCTCCGGTTTGTAACAACCAATTCAAACCAGCCAGTCGTTCTAAAAATGAAAAGTGGGCCTCACCTGTTGCCTGAAAAGTGTACCTAATAAAATGGCCAGTTACCTCTTCAGGAATTCATAGTTTACATTCCTTTTCTTTTTTCAAAAGCAGAGATCTAAAGCACATGTACTGTAAAAAACCCCAGATGTCCTGGAGCTTTTGTTAAGCAGCTAGTTTTAGGTTAATACTGTTTAAGAGCCATGCAGTCCTTAGGATGCTAATATGTTAAAAGAGCCTTCAGTGGGGAACGGATGAGTGGTCTTAAAGTCAAACAAGATGGCTGTTTTTCCTTGTTTTGGCTTATGTGTTTAAGCCAATAGGCTTTACAGAGAAATTAAAGCCAACCACTGGGATCTGTCCTCAAACTGTCCCAAAGCTCTGCCTACAGTAGGCCCAGCTACTGCTGCATAAATCCATACTGGCACCAACAGTCAGAAAGCTTCTGTTTAAGACCAGGAATTAATGAAAACATTAAACATGTATTACATCGAATGGGCTGGTTCACTTCTGCAGATGAGAGGAAACAATGGAAACAAAGTGTGAATTTCCCTTAGAGCAGAGCTGAGCTGAACTAAACGACTCCCACATCCAGGAGCCCTGTCATCAGAGCTGGGGAGTAACTAGTTACATTTACGTTAGCAACTTTTTGAACAAAACATACTATTAGGAATCTTTTTACTACACTGTACTTTTTACTTTAACTGAGTTAAATCATTAAGAAGTAACTTTTCTCTCACTTGAGTTAAAATTCTGGCTATTCTACTCACTTTGATTGAATGAATGAAAAACACATTTGAACCAGAGACACACTAACAATTTATGTTATGGTGAGACCTCTAATGTGTTGTTAAAATGATTTTGTTTTTCATATAGTCTTTTTTATCACCAGTATTTATTCATAACAATACTTTTTTCTTTCAATTTAGGAGATCTTTAAATATTTTAAATCAGCTGTTAAGATGAGTTACCCAGTACTCGATTAGCCCTCTTATTAAACACTTTTTTTGCTCTTTTACTTGAGTCATAATATGGTGAAGTATTACTATTTTAATTTGTTTAATGCTGAAAAGCAGCCAATAAATTCATTTTATTTTATAAAGAGTAAAATTGTTGTCTTCCTACCTCTGCCTATGAAGGTACAAAAGCCTCTCAAATCTAATAAATATCATGTTTATTAAATGTAATGAATAATTTATTTAAAGGCACAATGCAGACTTTGTACCTAAAGAGTTGACACATTTAAGTTATTTTAAATGATTCCTCAGGCAAATATACCGTGCTTGACACTATCAATACTGCAAGCTTAAGTTGGTAGAAGATGCACCGTCATTGGCCAGGTCATGTGACCTGGAATTACGCATTATGGCTGCAGGAATATAGCCATGGAGCTAAGTCTTTTTCTAGACTATTTTCCGCCTGCTCGACTACAGGTTATGTCTGCAGGAAGGAAAAAATGTAAACCTTCTGAGGAGGCTAACAAGAGAAAACCTGAAAGGGATCGTTCACGAGGAAAAACAAGAGTCTATCTTGGAAAGGAGTCTATTCGTTGGTGCAGCCTGAAAAAATAAGCCGGTAATAAAACCGATTGTCTTTTCTCACCATTATTATTAGACTGAGAAGTTAAAACTTTGCTCCTAGTATACAGGCATATATCTTTGTTATTATTTTACGATGATTAATAGAAGAAACATAGGAGCAGTTACAGGTCTAGAGCCCCCTAGTGGCCAAAAGTTACACAATCTGCCTTTAAATATATTTAGTAATAATAGACATCTTTCCATACATATTCAATGTGTCAAAACCTCTTTAAAATCATCAATATTAAATGAAAGCACTGTTAGATAAACATTAATGTTAATTGACTAAAAATTATTATATTTTTCTTACAATGACTTAAAAACATTTTATATTACATATTCAATAACTTATCAGCGTTTCTTAATAATCTTTAACAAAACTAGTTCACTTTGATAGATATAACCGCTTTTTTTTTCTTTTATGTTTTTGTTGCTTAATAACCCTGAACTTTACAGTCTTGGGTCCAAAAGGCGACTGGCAACGTTAATGGCCCACCCCACAACAAAACAGAGAGTTCGTCAGCATCCCCCAGTGGGGCTGTACATAAACCACAGACTGACACAGACATGGACAGCTCACTCGTCATGCAGCATCAGAGAAAAAAAAATACTCCAAGAGCAACAGAAAGAGAAAGAAGCCGATTTGATTGAAGAAAAGCAGGTGACTTACCGGACTTGCGCTTGGAGCCATAGTCCCTGAGGGAGAAGCAACACAAGAGGGACATGGTTACTGACAGAGGATGCTACTGTCCCCAACAAAACATTCAGTCAACACACGTGCATCCTGACGCTGCGGCTCGGCTTCTGTGGGCTTTAAAACGCATGTGTTTGAAGGAGGAAAAGCAGGAGTCAGGGAGGAGGGAGGATTTGGCCAGCTGCCTGTACTCTCTGCAACAGACACAAATAAGTCATGTGACTCCAGACCAGCACCACCGTCTAATTTCCCTCCTCCCTGTATTCCCCCTTCGCCCTGTTAGAGGCAAAGACACATTTGAAGGAAGGAGGATCAGTTTAAGATGCTTTTCTTAATGGCTTCTAATGGGATTATGGCACAAGTCTGAGCTATAGATCACAGACTGACGCAGACCTGATGTACGTGAGACTTCTGTCGAGAACAACGCTGGAATATATTTAGAAAAAGATGGGGAACAAAAGGAGAGTTCATATGAGGAGTTATAGGAATACAGTAAAGAGTAAATCTGTTCATCGGTGTTCAGTGTATTCCTCAAAGTCAGCCAATTATTTAGGTTAGACCTGCCAATGTCATCCGTGCCGCAGTTTCTCAGAGGAAACAGTAGACATCAGCAGAACGATGCTGCAGTAGAACTTAAGCGGGGCTTTTTCCTTCTTCAAACAGAAAGACTCAAGTTTTAATAATTAATAGGTAACATAATATGTAAGCATTAGTATCAGAACCAGCTGCTGTTAGTCATTTTGAACATAATGGTGTCATTAGTTGATCAGTTGACAGTCCTACAAGATTTTTTTTATTCATTTTGCTCTGAACTTGGGCTGTTTTTCCTACTTGGTTTCAATTCAGTACCTGAACTCTAATAGGTTTAGCCGACCTATGAATCATTAGGCATAAAAAGCCTCCCTATATCTAGGCACAGTAGAGGCTTTTAAAGGAAATAAAACAACATTTCTTTCTTATTCGTGGACTGTCTAGTATTGTGACATTCTCTCTTTGATTGCAGGACAGAGCGTAGATCTGGATATTTTTGAAAGTAGTTCCATTTTGATGTCCTTTGCTTTGTGATAGTAAAGAAAAACGCATTCAGTTAACAGGGTAACCTCAGGGCAAACCTTCGACCTGTATCTAATGAATGAGATGTAGCAGAAATGTTCCTTCTGTAGGGACATTTGGTTCTACCTTGGAGAAAAACATAGAGCTTTTTAGTCATTGTGAGCTGAGAGAAAACTTTCGTTCCTCTGCAATACAAAACATTAATTTAAAAGGTACCTATAAACAAGTTTGAATAGGTTTATAGACTATCTACAACAGGTTCATTACAAGAAAATTATTACAGAAAATTATTACATTATTACAGAATGAGCTGTTTTAATGCTCTGTCACTTTTATGCAAATACACATGTAAAAATGGCAACAAAACGGATGCATAATGGTGCAATTATACATAAAACACAGAGTCACACCCAGAAACAGAAGAGAGGGGTTTCAGGGTCACATTTCTGTAGTTAAACTGTCCTTTTATATCTTCTCAACTGCCCCTCTGTCTGTGAGTGCTCCGTTTTTTATAAAAGGGTTGGTTTGTGTATTTTGGTAGTTTTAGGTAAGAAGACAAAAGGAATATCTGATTGTTCTTGCATCTCTATGGGTTTTTAAGGGAAATCAGCATCATGCTAATTAGTAGTCGGTCTTTTCTGCAATAGTTAATTGTAAGGGACTTTTAATCTTTTAATCCAAATGTTATAGGTATAGAGCAGGGGTAACCGGTCATTATGATGAATCACTTCAATTTCTTTATTTGAAGCGCACCAATGAAGACAGTTTACATCTTGTCAGATATAAACTGTCAGTTCCAGTTTCCTCTACAGTACCTGAATAAACTTCTCTGAACATAAGTTAATGCTTCAAATACAGGCAGCTGAGTTGGGTCAAGCAGACAACAATGAAGGTAACCGAATATTTTTCCAAAGAATTTGAGGAAGCTCGGACAAACAATGGAAAGTGGATGAAAGATCATGGCTGAATGGTAGGTTTCAAATGCTCCAGTGTCCCTTTGGGATGGTACCCACTAAAGGGCTGTGTGTAATCCCGCAGCAGTGTGTCGCAGTTAGCTTGTCGCAGATATGACGCAGATATTTCTGATTTCTGCTCAGTTTTGAGGCGTGGTCTGCTCTTTGTTATTCCACGCCACAATGCAAGAGGGACAATCATGAACTAGGTAAGATTGTGGGTTTCCATGTGTCGGACGACACACAGTTCACCCTTGAGTGTTCCCGAAAGACTGGCCATGGCGCTGCGTGTTTTGGCTTTGGGTGAAAACCAACAGACCGTCGCACAGAGCTACAAACTAGTGTCCTGCACTGTGTCTGGGATAGTGTCCGAGGTGTGCCAGTCATTGTGGACGGCACTATAGCCACAGTTTCTGCCATTAGGTACCAGACAGGAAATACGCATAGTGTAGAGCGGATGTAGAATTGACCAATCAGAGGCCTCCTTTCTCTCCTCCCTGTGACGCTGTCTGCTGTCACCTACAATTTTGGGGAGGTGCACCAGAGTTTCTGTGGAAGGGGCGTGGGCATATCTGCGTTAACTGTAACACAAACGCAGACGACCTGGTTTCTGAGTATAAATCAGGCTTAACTCTGCGCAGGATGAGTGGTAAAAAACGGCACTCATCGCATAAAGCAATAGAAATGCTGTCTAGTCAGCTAAAGTTAGTAGGTAACTGTGATCTTTCCCATCTGATTTAGCAGAGTGGATATCTCTCATTGGAGCAGTTTTGTTCATAGCTTATCTCACTAACGAGGAACCTAATCTTGTCAGGTATGAAGATGAGTAAATTGAACAGAGCGATTATTGCAGCATAGGGTACGCTGTTCCCTGCAGTGCAGTGGGTGGTCAAGGTAATGACCTTTCACTGTGTGAGTTTAATGAATCCCTCCTTGAGTGTCTCCGTGACTCTACTCTGGCTAATAAAGAGCCACGCTGTCACAGATAGATGTAGGCCAACAACAGAGAAATATCAGCGTCTGCTTTAAGCAGCCGCAGACAGAGATTCATGGTGCCACTGTGCCATTTTCTCTGAACCCTTGTGATCCGATGCATCCATCTCTCTGTGACTGGCTTCTGCAAATGAATGAAGCGTTTATACTGACTTCTTGTGCTAGCAACTGCTTTACTGTAACTGAGGAAGGACAGGAGCTCATGTATCATCCCATGCATCTAAAGTCAGGAAAGAACTTCTAAAACACAAGGAATAAAATGTCTTTCATCCAGAGGGCAACACCTTAAAGTAGAGCACAATAAGCTGCCCTTTAAATGGGTCTAGGTGGAAAGTATGCTCAGGACAGAGACGCTGTTAGACATAGTAATATTTCTATTCGGTAAATTTCCTAATTCAGGGTTTATACAGAAATGAGTAACTAAAAATGATTTTTAATGACTCTCATATAAATAAATATATATATATATATATATATATATATATATATATATATATATATATATATATATATATATATATATATATATATATATATATATATATATATATATATATATATTAAAATAAAACACAGCAAAATGCTTCGTCATCTATACCGTCAACAGGCTGCAACCATGTCCCAAGTTCCTCGTTTTCCAGCCACTTTTGTTTACATTTGCATTTTCCCCATTCTTTAGCTTTTTCTCCACCTCGAGCTGATTTTCCAAGCGTACGACTTTACGATCAACTGGAAGCAGTTCCACGCAAAAAGCTTTTTTTTTTTCCGAGTTTTTTACGGCACTCGTGGCTCGTTTTATGAACAGTAGGCTGACAGGAAAGGGGGTATAAGAGTGGGGGAGAGACATGCGGGAAAGGACCACAGGCCGGATACGAACCCGGGTCGCCCGCTTCTAGGACTGAGGCCTCCGTAGATTGGTCGTGCGCGCTAACTACTGCCCCATCTGAACGCCCCAAACAACAAACACTTTTTTTTTCTGATATATCAGATGAAAATAAAGCATTTTAAATGCCACAATAATCACATTTAATACATTTTTATGCCAAATAAGGTTTTCATTTAAAAAATAATAAGTTAATGACTTTTAATGATTTTTAATCATTTTTAATGACCTATGGAAACCCTGTAATTAGACGGAGAATGCAATTGCTTTGCCATAATACTTTGAAACTGTATGACTTGAGTCAAATGGGTTTCCTTCCACTATGTACTTTCAATATTCATTTAGCTTATGTCCCATTCCTTTGACAGAACTGGTGTAACTGGGCCAGACTTGTACGTCACCTCGCCACACATACTTTCTCAGCTCTGCACACAAATTTTTCAGGGACTGAGTTCATGTCTGATTCTAAAGAGAGTAAATTGTAGTTCTTATCTCCAGCCTATCCCTTCAGCTTTCATTTGGTCAACAGTTCTGCTTTGGCTCAAGTGTCCAAACCAATTTACACCATTTAGATAAACCAAAAGTCTTTTGACAAAGGCACTTAAAGGTAAGTGAAAAAAAAGATTCAAACTCAAAACCAAAGAACAAAAAACATATTTTTCCTCATGACTCACTGTACTGTACTTTTACTGTATTTTTCTTACATAAATATCATATAGAACACAGTTGGTTCTTAAAAATCAGCCCTTTAACCCCCATTTAAAAAACCGTTTTATTGGTAAAGGCCTCTGATCTTACTCCACTACCTCTAGTGGTAGAAAAAAGTATAACAATAACAAACATTTATTCAAATGTTTTTGATTTGCCTTTCATGAAAAACAAAATAAACTGTAAAAATAATTAAAAATATTACAATTTAGTGTACTTTCTTTTAAAATAAATTCACATTCTAAAGTTATTATGATTAAGCAATAATTTGTCCGACTTAAATTAGTCCGATTTTTTTATCCTCTGCCTCTAGGGCTTCCGTAGGCCTTTCAGCGGACACTGCAATTCGCCCATCTGTCAGCAATGGATGGTGAGGTTGCTTGAGGACCCAGATGCAGAGACGAGTGAAGCA